GAGATCCGCGAAGTATTCCTTCCACCGTCCGACAATGTCCACAGTTGAGGGCAACAGCTGCCCACCTCCCCTGTAAACAGTTTTGGCAGGGCACTGCTTCCCCCTCCTGAGGCGCCGGACGGTTTGCCAGAATCTCTTCGAGGCCGACCGATGGTCCTTCTCCATGGCCTCACTGAACTCTTCCCAGACCCGAGTTTTTGCCATCGCAACCGCCTGGGCTGCAGCCCGCTTGGCCTGCCGGTACCCGTCAGCTGTCCCAGGAGTCACACAGGCCAACCATGCTCGAAAGGACTCATGGTGTTTGTTATGGACAAACTGTGGCTATCACAGAAGTCCAATAACAAAACACCACTCGGGTTCAGATCGGGGGGGCCGTTCCTCCCAATCACGCCCCTCCAGGTGTCAGTGTCGCTGCCCACGTGGGCGTTGAAGTCCCCCAGTAGAACAACGGAGTCCCCAGTCAGGGCCTTTTCCAGCACCCCTCCCAGGGACTCCAAGAAGGCAGTGAGAGACCTATCCCCGACCCGATGGCGCAGGGAAGCAACCCTCTCATTCACCGGGGTAAGCTGGGGAGCTATGAGCAAGCCCACACCAGCCTGCCGCCTCTCACCGCAGGCAACTCCAGAGTAGTGAAGAGTCCAGCCTCTCTCGAGGAGTAAGGTTCCAGAGCCCAAGCTGTGCATGGAGGTGAGCCCAACTATATCTAGCCGGTACTTCTCAACCTCCTGCACAAGCTTGGGCTCATTTCCCCACCAGCGAGGTGACATTCCATGTCCCCAGGGCTAGTCTCCGTGTCCAGAGATCGGGTCATCGGGGCCCCTGCCTTTGACTGCTGCCCAATCCACTGTGCACCGGCCCCTTACGGATCCTCCTGCAGGTGGTGGGCCCATGGGAGGAAGCAATCTAACATAAAGAGCAAAAAGGATTATATTCTATACTGCCATGTAAAACAGTAACAGTAACTGAAAAAACAAACGGTGACGTGGATGCAGTGGTATAGCTAATCGATGAGTTTAATAAAGTTATTGACTACATGGGATCAACGTGATCACTAATGATAAATGATTGAATGGCCTTCCACTGGCTTGTGCTGCATGTTCTGCTAAGCCATGATTAGTTACATTAAACATACACTTCAGCCCTATTTCTCACATCTTGTATTTTCAGCTAAATGTCCTGGAGCTCCACCATCTTGTCTGGTTACGGTTTCAAGACTCAACCTTTTACTGCTGAACATCATGTTTTTTGTGTCAACCAGCATTTCAAGTGCTGAAATATGTATATGCCTGTTGTATTGTTTCTCTCAGTGTATATGCTGAACTTGCTCCTCTCTGGTCATTTAATGTTTTCTCTCTTCATTGAACCTTTATATCCATTCTGTTCTGTACCAGTGTTAAACACAGAGGGAAGAAATGCTTCTGTGTCCATGGCTGTTTTTGTTACACTCAAGTTCTTTTTACAGTATGGGCCCTTTTCACATGGCATCACTTCCACTGGTCAGTGCAATCGTTTAGTTCATACAGTCTAAAGCAGATGCCAGACAATGATAATGATGTTTACCGGTCAGGCTTCCCCTTTAAGAGCTTATAGTTAACATGACTGTGGCATGGGAAACGGTGCTATCTATTTTGGGGAAGTGCAGTAATGTACATGCATCTAAGGGTAGAAAAAGTTACATTAGTTAACTTTAAAAAAAGCACCCAGTTAAACTTGCAGTGTGGTATAAGAAGCATAGAGGGAAAATATTATGTTTGCTGAGACAAGGCAAAATAAAATCCCTGTTCGTGCAAAGTTATTTCCGTCTCCCTCCTCACAACCACCTAGCCCTGGGCCGCTAAGGCTAGCTAACATAAAGTAACATAAATGCCAGAGGGCTCCCAACCTCTGTTCAGAACTGAAGGCATGCAAAGGTGATAACTGACATCTCAGTCCAAACCTGACCAAGGATGTAAGTGTGTGGATACTGAGTCAACACCATTTATTTTGTACCATTGATTAAGCACATTAACGAGTTTGCATTGTTTTCAATATTTGTACATTATTCACACAATAATAAGTGATTTTCATTTGCATAAGATTTAAATTGACCTTAGACAGAAAAATAAAACACCTGCTACCTTCATGTCACATCTGGACCACCTCACCTCAGGATAACACAAGGATGATGCATGATTCACACCGATAAAATGTAAAACAATGCCCTAAACAGGGCCGGGCTAGGACCATTGATTAAGCACATTAATGGTCATAGCCAGGAGAGTTCATCTCCCCCGTCAAAACCACCAGTGCATCCCCACAGAGACCCCCCACCATCGCACCAAGGAGACCTCCTCCTCCTCCAAAGAAGACTGACCCATCCAGCCTGACCGAGCTCAAGCCTCCACCTGCTCTAAAAGAAGCCCAGGATGTTCCAAAGGCTGGACCACCACAGCTAAGCAGACCCCCCACCCCCTAAACCCTATGGGTCTGTTCAGTCACCTGCAAACAAAGAGAAAGAAGAGTCCAAAGTTAATAAAGGCCCCATTCTTCCCAAGCCCCAGTTAAAGAGTGAGAATATGTACAAATGTAAGAGAAGAAGTCGAGGGCTGGATCCCCTCAAATGATCTGAGCAAGAAACCTTAGTGTGAGTCTGTATAACTCGTTTTATGAATGTGATTTAGATCCCTGTGCAATCTCAGCCTCAAGTGACATTGACGTGAGAAACTGAAACCAGAAAACATTCTAAATGTGTGTTTACCCAGCTGCCAGATAGCTCGGTGGTTGACACCACTGTGTTTGATATGGTAGATTGGGGTTCAATTCCCTCTCAGGGCGCACTCAGTAACCAGTGTGGGGCCCTTAACAAGGAGATGCCTTGCATCAAACCAAGCGCCCCATGTTTGTGGTCAGACCCTATCATCACTACACAAATTCATTCCATCTTTTAAACTTGTACACATTGTACATTTACCTGCAGCTCCTAAATCACCCTGTCTGCTTTTGGGTGCAAATTAAAAAATGTGTTTATTTAGGAAAGTCCAAGCTATCTACTATTTATAGCACTAAACCAGGAACTAAAGGAGAACATCCATGTCCTTTGACACAGCAGCTCATCTTTTGTGAGGATATACTGCAAAATGGTGGACTATTTATGTTGACTGTAAATTTTCATAGCATAATATTATGGTTATATAAGGACCTGAATAAATCTTAGAAGGGACTTTAGTCAACACTTCAGTGTCATAGCACAAGAATGGAACAATATATAAGTTTGATAGATTGCCTGGGACAGCTTTCACTCATAAACCATTTATTGATAGACCGCTTTGCTGTAATTCATCAGTGGGACTATGACAGTGTCCTCAAACCACTTATAGCTAGACTAATAGATAATTCAGTGAAAATAAGAAAAAAAAATCAGCCATCTCACAAATTTTCACTTTGTTATATGTAGCAAGAAACAACTATTGCTACATAGGATTAAATATTCATATTTTTTAATGAAGTTCAACAGATTTATTTGCCATTTACACAAATACAGATAGTACAGGTACATAGCAATATGTTGTGCATATCTCTGAGTCTGCATACAAATAAGTGCAATGTAAATAGAGTGCAGGAGATGAAAGCAAAGGGAAATGTACACAACTATGTTATCTACAGCTTTTACTAATGTATTTAACACACATATTTACAAACAATAAAACAATATTATTTGTAATATTTTACTATTATGGGAGTAAACAGGTGTTCCTGAGCTGATAACTCTGCCCTGTCCAGTGAGACGCAGACCACAACCTCTGGCCCTTCAGGCAGCAGAAAGGTAGTGATGGATAAAATTATAACTCACCAGTTCATTTACTTGGAATATAGTTAGCTCAAGATTACTTAAAATTGATGTTTATGTCCAGAACAGAGCAAATAGGTAATGTTCAAACCCCATGTAAATGATTGTATATCTAGATTGTTATATTAGTGGCACAGCTGTATTTTCTACTGGAGTCAGTGGGGTGTTGAACACTAGAGTTTGAATGATCCAGAGAATAATTCTTTGGGTCCAGTTTGTCCTTTAATCCCTGTTAAGTCAGCTCATGGTAGTGATTCTGTACATATGTGATTTACATTTGCATGTTGATGCCTGTCGGTGGTTCAGTTCCCCCTGGAGCCGTCCATCTGGGTTGCAGTGAAGAGATGCTCGCCACCCATGTCGTGTGTTCAGGACAACCTTTACAGATGCTGAGCATCATGGACAGGTATGAAAGTCAACTGTTTAAACCAGCACTTGTTCTGTGTATTTCATTGTTGTATTTATTGGAAGATGGAACTGCAGTCCACTGAGTAACAGCGCTATTTTTTCTCATAATCATGGAAATTAATACAGAAAATACACAGCAGTGTGTTTGAATCTAGGCAAGATGTGGAGAAACAGTCGCACAGTATTTCACCTCAGTCAAACTTTACATGATATGTTGTAAATAACTACAGTTTGGATACAGTTAAACTTTTATAGTTGTAGCAATCAAACATTCATTATTACTAAACATTCCTCTGGCACAAGTTGGAGGTGGCATCTTAGGGGAATGAGTCCAGCCAGGAAGCCTCCTCATGATGGATACCCTGACAGACCAGCAGGTGGTGCAGCTCCACCCTGCAGCACCGTCTTCAGCCGGTCACACTGGTGAGTCCTCACTGAGGAACAAGACTTTAATTCCAGACATTAGTTGGGTCTTAGAGCTGCTCTTGTAGACTGAGTGATTCAGTTGTATGGGTTTTTTTTGCTAGAAATCATTATCATCACTGAAATGATTAGTTGGTCAACAGAGAATTAATCATCTCATTATTTTTTCAAGCAAAAATGCCAAATATTCACAGTTTCTAAAATGTGAGTGGACATTTTTGTGCTTTGGACTGTGATGGGCATGTTTTACTATACTATTCCCCTGTTTTTTCTTTAAACATTTTCATCCACAAATCTGGAAAAAATAATCAGTGATTATAGATAAAACTAATGGTGATCACTTTATTCCTAATTTTATATTCTAAATAATTTTATTTAGAAAATTCTGAAATAGAAAAAAATGCTCATTTTAGTTTCTTGTGGTTGACACCACTGACTTTGGTACAGCAGGTCGGGGTTCGAGTCCATGTCAGGGTGCAGTCCATATCCAGTGTGGGCCCTTAGGCAAGGCCCTTAATGTGTAGTGAGGTACTTCACAAATAAATGCTACGGCAAAGGGGAGCCAGGGCAGGGGGGAGATATGATCCTCTCCATGATTGAAGATAAAAACATTTTCTGACAGTCTATTCTAGGGTCATGACTAAAATAAATGACTAGTAAAGATAAGATAGTGTCGTGGCTAGAGTGTGATGCTGACTAAATTAATTCAGACAAACCATCCCAATTTAAGTGATCATTTAATATTACAATTATTCTGAACAGAGTAGCAGTTGAATAGACAATCTGATAGGGAACAGAGAACAGGGACTCCTCCTGCAATGTGATAGATGAAGCATTAAATAGGAAGATTGTCAAAAGCGTCAGTCCAGTCAGTTGTTGTTGGTCATGAGTCAGTCTTTCTGTCAACCCACAGTCAGTCGTCAGTCTCCCCCCGGCCGAGTCTGTCCAAAAAGCACACAGTTTACTGTCCCACTAGCATTCTCTCTCTCTCTCCTTCTAACCCAGCTCTCCTAACCTTTTTATCTGCTCACACTTATACAGCCTTCCATGGCCTGAGCATAAGACGCAGTCCCATGCCAGCTACCCACACACACTTTCTTCCGAGCATTGTCTAAAAATGTCCAGTACATGAACTTCTAGGTCGCATTGACCTAGCGCACATTTCCTTTTTCTAAACCTGAACAGAGCACATAAGGCTGCAGCTTTCCATTCCCCATCTAAGGAGGAAGTCACTCTGGATGTTGACCCATAGGTTAAACAAGGGGGACCCAGCCCAAGATATTCTTGCTTGAGCAAGAAACAGATCAAGCTTCCGTAAACACTTCGCTCAGCCTTACATAACTATTACAAATAATATCTATATATGAAGTATATACTGTTACCTCTGGAACCTTGTTTATTTTTAGCCACTACAGTAGATAGATGAAATGTGAAAGATAAGTGAAGTGCCTCCTGAAACCAGCTAGCTGGTAACACGGAGAAAGGCTTGGGTACCTGTAATTACTGGGGGTGCTTGGGAATGTGAGTAGGTGAAGTAGGGTAGGGTGAAAGCAGCCAGCATTTCTTTTTACATTTACATTTGTGGGAGGTAGAGTGAAAAGAAAAAGAACTCTTTATTGTGTTTACTCTTTTATTTAGAGAACAAGATTGTTTTCTGTCCCACCACCACAGGAGAAGTTACTCACATGAAAAAAATCTAAGGCTAAAGGCTAAGTCTGGCAAGCCTTCAGATTTATAACAAGTTAGAGGATAAATAAGAGCATGTTCTGTATGCACATTTACTTCAGAAGAAGTCTTACTGTCATCGTCTTCCCTCCAGCTCCCCTGCATGTCGTACTCCTCTTCCAGGGTCGGTGGCTCTGAGGCGGTCAGATGCTGCAGCTCAGGACGCTTCTTCCATTCATGATACCTGAAGAGTGTAAACAGGTGGATAAGAGACAGAGGCTGCCGGTTTCTACAGCTTTAACTTAATCATGTATCCAGATGCCAAAGGACTGGAGCTGGTTCTGCTGTGTCAGTTAAAGAGACTTCAAACTGTCAAAGGATCAAAGCTTGTATTGACATCTGGGCCAGATGTTTCACCTGTCCTAAATTATTTCTTCACCTTGTGCCAGCGTGGACAAAAAGCTTTCAGATGCTCCGGTACAAATGAGACTGTATGATAAGATCAAAAGCTCCAGAAAAGCTACTAAATGGAACTTGATGAGATTGTTTTCCCAACATTATTATTAGTTGCAGACTTATTTAGAAGTCAAAATAAAACCTATCCGCCATGTTTAAACATTGATAGTAAAGAAAGGACATTCAAACCCTCAACACTAAACATATCAGGAGAGGACAATAAGAGGCAAAGTGACGGACCTCGCATGTGTAACAAGACTGATCAGGTGTTAATGTTACCTGGGCACGTGGTTTGCATTGTAAGGAACCAACACAACTTTGTGTCCCTCCAGTAGAGTCTTCTCGTTTATCTTCCTGGTTAGAAACCAGACACAAACACCAACAGGACAGATTATAACAATAAACTAAATTCAACCCTTGTACGTCCCATTACTATATTATAACAGCTGGATTACGAATCACAAGATGGAGACTGGTCTTCCCACGGATGTATTAAGGGGAAAAGGCAGGAGTCTGTATTGTGAGAACATATTTCATAACATTACAACATTCATTTATTCTATTTATTTCCCTCACTGAATGTTGCTCACCCATAGTGTTGCTTTCGTCAACGAAAATTATGACTAAATATCGTCATCAACAAACCTTTATCATGTGACGAAAACGAGACGAGATGCAACGAAAATGCTGGTCGTGTGACGATGGCTATAACTAAATGTCTAATGCAATATCGTTGACGAAAAAAACGAGACTAAATGTGGTTCACAAAATAAAAACTATGCCAAAATGTCTCTTCATTTTCGTTGACCAAAACGAGACGAAACGAAATGTTATAACGTTATTTCGTCTCGTTCAGTCGCGTTATTATTATTATTATTATTTTGCAGTATTTCTGTTTCCTGTGTCTCGCTTCAGGGGGCGCATCAGGTCGCACTGCGCAGACGCAGGCGACGTCACTTCCTTAAGCCCCACTCGCGGCATTATTTAGAAGACGACAACAAACAAAGTTAAGTTTGACACAGAGAAAAGGACCGATGGCCGGTCAGCCAGGGTTCGTCATTGGGAGAAAAAGAAGAAACTACATTTGGATACACTTTCATTACATAAAAGAACATTTTGGTTTCGTCTATACTACTAGGTACTTATACTATATTGACTGGGTTAAATAGAATTGCATTACTAAAAAGAGACTAAAATACAATTTTCATTGACTAGACTAAAATCATTTTTCATCGACTAAAACTAGACGAAAATAGTCATGGATAATTCTGACTAAAATACGACTAAAATCTCATCAGTTTTCGTCAACTAAAACTAGACTAAACTAAAAAGAGTATGAACGTGACTAAAACTAATAAAAACTAAAATGATAGCTTCACACAAAGACTAGACTAAAACTAAAATTAAAAGAGGCTGCCAAAAACAACTCTAGAGTTCACACCCTGAGAGAGAACCAAACCTTGATCTTGCTGTACTAAAGTCAGTGGTGTTAACCACCAAACTATGTTGCCAGTTCGATAGATACAGATTCAGATCTTTTACTGGTTGGTTAGTGTGATGACTTTTAATGTTAGTCATAATTATGAGATCTGGAAATCAGGATCTTGTAATAGGCTAGAATATATTGGTTGCAATTCAAGAAGACATTCATTCCATAGTCACATGAGACTGAGATTACACCCGGATCTAAATCACACTCACAGTGATGTATCGTGCGCCCTGAACTGAACCCTGACCTGAACCCTGACCTGCCATATCCTATCCACATAGGCCCACATTTAGAACTTTTACTGGTTTCTGGTTATTGGTTAACACAGCTTAGCAATGGAAAGGGGGTGCTTGGTTTGATGGAAAGCATGTCCCTGCTAAGGGCCCACATTGGATATTGACCACGCCTTGACAGGGAAGCAAACCTCGACTTGCTGTACCAGGGCACCTTGAGTGGTTAACTGAAGACTGAACAGTCCTGATCTTGAAGTACCATCCAACTACCACCCAGTAACCTGCCTCTGCACAACATGGAAGCTCCTGTGAGGCATCATAGCAGCTAAGATGAGCAGGCACATGGCTCAATATATGAGCAGCGCCCAGAAAGGAATTGGTAGTAACACCAGAGGAGCAAAGCACCAGCTACTGGTTGATAAAGTAGTCACTTGAGACTGCAAGACCAGACATACCAACCTGTGCACTGCCTGGATTGACTACAAAAAAGCCTATGACTCAATGCCTCACACATGGATCCTGGAATGCTTGGAGCTGTACAGCATCGACAGGACTCTTAAGAGCTGACTGACATCAGATTCTAAACAGCTGACTTAGGATCTACCTCATGTAATTCCACCTGTACTGTTCACATACTCAGTTTGTACATACAGTACATAATTGCACACTTACTGCTGAGTATTTGCACTCCACGGCTCTTATATAGCATATACTGTGGTTCAGTGGGTAGAGCAGTCGTCTCCCAACTGGAAGATCAGAGGTTCGAGTCTTGGTGCCTGCAGTCCACATGTTGAAGTGTCCTTGGGCAAGACACTGAACCCCCATGTTGCCCCCAATGGTTAGAGCTCTCGGTTGAGTTGGTGCCACAGATAGCTGCCTCAGTTCTGTATTGGAAACAAATTCCTTGTGTGTAACACACTTGGCCAATAAAGGTGATTATTCTCTCTGCATTATATTGTGTTCTTGTATTTTTATTGTGCTTCTTTCACTTGCTGCTTTAAAGTGCCTTAGATTTGTTTTACTGCCTATTTAGATGTTATTGCTCATCTACTTTATATCTCACTTGTATTGTGTGGCATTCATGTGGACGGCAAAGTAAAAATTTCATTGTACAGGGAAACACGTTTCCTAACTCTGCATATCACAAATAAACACTTTGACCATTGACCTTGGCCTTCATCAAGAACTCAGTGGGAATGTGGAAAACAGAGGCCAACTTCAAGCCAGTTACACAAGTCAACATCAAGCACAGTATCTACCAAGGAGATGCTCTGCCCCCGCTGTTGTTCTGCATAGGGGTGAACTTTGAAAAATGGTTAGGGACAAGTCTGATTCTAGCCTACTAGATGTGAGGAATGAAGCTCTCCTGTGGGAAATGGAGGATAGTAGGTCTCATCGCTCATCTCATCGTAGGTTGTAAGAAGCCACCAAGTTCAGTCAGGAATGGTAAAGGCCCCATGCCCTCTTATTAAAGCAGATGATGACCAACATGCTCTATTAGATGAAGTTCAAAAAGCTGTAGCTCATCAGGAAAACAACTGGCAGAGCTCAGTAAGACACTAGCTGGCCTAGCTAGCACTATAAGTGAAATGAGTAGGCATAGCTCCCAACAGGCATTTTGAGAACCCCGGCCACATCCTAAGCCACAACCAAGGTTCACATTTTGTTTTAAGTGTAGGGGCATAGGTCATATAGCCAGAAAGTGCCCACAGGCAAACCAGGGCCAGGATGATACAACAATCAGTCCACATACAGTATAAAAAAAAATTGCACCCTCTGTTGTCATGAGCCAGACCACTCGAGGGGAAGCGGTTGGCTCACTCAATGAAACTCTAGACAGAAAAGGAATTTTGGAGCAGGCGGTGGGAGAATGCAAGACTGTTGAAGTGAAAATTCAAGGTGTGGAAGGTTTAAGCCTGCTTGACACTGGTAGCCAAGTCAGTACAGGAAACACCTGTCATTGAAGGATGAAAACATTCATCCTGCACTTGAGTGGTTAAAGATCACTGCAGCCAATGGGTTAGACATTGGGCTATGTAAATGGTCTTATACTTGTACAGTGCTTTTCTATGCATTGCATGCACACTTTTACACTATTTGGCCATTTACACACAACTGGGGGTTCAGTGTCAGGACACTTTGACGTGTTGACTGGACAAACCAAGAACTGAACTGCTAATCTTCCGGTTAGGAGACAACCCATTCTACTTCCTGAGCCACAGTCGCCACCATGTAGCTATGGAGAGCTTGAGGTAGAGGCCATGGGTCTGACAATCCCAGAACGAGGACTTCTCATAATCAAAGATTCTGCCCAGTCATCCTCGGTGCTGTGTCTCATAGAGATGAACGTTATCAAAAAAACGCAACGAGCTAGGCGATGCTGAACTTCACACTACACTTCAAGGTAAAACTGAACCCCTAGCCTTCTGTACCAAAGTCAGTGGTGTTAACCACTGAGCTATCCAGCCTGTTCTGTTTGTATCTGAGTTTTACACATCACATAATTCCCAGTGCTAGACAGAATTCAGTCTATACTGGTCAGCAGAGCATTTATATCATAATGGTTAAGAAACAGGAAACTACATGTGTAGAACATTAGACCCCCTGTCCACCTATGCTCAGTGAACACCCACATCATCAGGCTGCACAGCTCCAGGTTTTAATGCAACACCTTTGTGTGACTTCACTGGAATAACTAAACTTTTCCCCCACAGGCTGAGAAATAGGCTCCTACTTATGATAAACTAAACTTGATGCGTAAAATCAGTGAAGCCTCTTTGATAGAAATATGCAGATAATGTAAACATATTAAATCAGCATCTGTTTGATGTTTTGTGATTATGGACCAAAATGTTATCTGTCAAAACAGTGTCTGCAAAAAAAGTATTCAAACACTAAAAACTCAGTTGATTGTGATGGCCTTTATTTTTATTTTTTAATAGTTGTCTTTCACACGTTATCTCACCCCTCTCCGTTCACAGTAGTCATTTGTTTTGCCACTCACTGGAATGACGGGTTAGTATCATATGAAGAAAGGAAATGTCAGGAAATGGTTGAAGTGGGAAACTTGTCCACTCTGAAAAGTAGGAGAGAGACTGATACCAACAGTGTTTTGTTTTGAGCATGATTTATTATAACAATCACTTTTAACCAGCTGAGTTCTTTATTTGAACTTATGTGATATTAATAATAACTGATTCTGTTTATATTTAGGCTCACATGTAGCTCATTGATCAGTGTCGCATCTCATATTTGTTGCAATGTGTCAAATGAAAAAGCTAAATGAAATGAAAAGGAAACTTAGATCCAGGTCAACAAACAGCTATGTACACATTGAGAAGAAGAGAAAGTGACAGCTATGGCAGAAAGAGTTATAATAGCTGTAGGTTGAGAGGTTTTGCCATTTTAAAATGATATAATACATGACAATACAAAACAGACATAATGTTGGAAATAATATTTACAGTACTAATTCAAATTTATAGGCAGTACAAAATAAAACAAAGTTAAACACACGCTGATATTGTCATAGTGACCCCCGAAACACCAAATTGAGGAAGTTTCTACATTTCTGTGGCAAGTGAAGAAGCTAGTACTGAGGAGTCAAATGTTTAGCTGCTAATGGACCAGTCAAATGGAATTTGGTGTTTTGTGTGAGTGATGGTGGGTGCTACAAAACCATGACCCTTAAACAGCAACTTAACCGCAGCTGAAACTCTTGTTTTGACTGAGCTCCAGTGGCTGAGCTTCTCAACTTGGTCAGTAAACTGTGATGAAAAGTGATATCGCCGTTTTCTCAGACAAGTTTTATACGGCCCTCTATGCTTAAATGTGTTGTGTACAAGTGTTAATCATCACAGGACAATATTTAAAACAACATCTGTGTGTAATATTTGACTGATGGTGAATACATTCTCATCAATGTAAGACATGGAAGACTTGGATATAAAACCAGTTTTATATTTTCTATGGTGGTTCAAAGAGTGTCCATGCAAACCATTCATCCAAACACATTCTAACTTCCAGTACAAGTATCATTAAAACCAAAGTGAAATGAGCTGTTTCCACCAGTTTGATATCAAGGCAATGCTCACTTTCCAGGCACTTCTGAGACCATGTGTAACCAACATTTACTTATCTGTTTCACTAGAACAGTGGAGCATAAAATGTTTCCCTGCAGTGAGCCTCCTGTTCAGCCTGGAGGCGCCTCCATCTGGTCAGCTCTATGAACTGCTGCTGAGTCTGCGACGCAGCAGAGAGGCAGGCTTGATTTCTGTGTCCTCTGTGTCACTTTCACATTGTCTCTGGAGAAAATGATCATTAAATGTGGATTCCACTCTGATGTATACACAGAAACAAATACTTACACAGTTCTATCTTATAAAGCTCTAGCCATGTCAGAGCTAGCACATATCATATCATAACTGAGACACTACCAAATACATGCCACTAGAAATCTCACTGAGACATACTAGGCTGGTGTAAAAGCCAATCTGGATCTTTTTCTTTAGTTGTCGCACAACATGGCTGGCCAGTGAGCTAAAACCAGCCACGGTGGATATAATTCTCTTCCACCATAGCTCCCACTAAGAGCATCGCGATGGTGTTTGTTCAATATTTGGACTGTTGTCGGGTTCATCTGGTAAAAACATTTGGAGTTTACCAGCCACGCTCATCCGGCGCATATTACGAAAAGTCAAAAGTTGATCTACTAACCCATGAGGTCATTTATTATTTTGTGATGCTACAGTGTTAAAATAATACATTCAAATATTTTGTAATCACTGCATTTATGATGATCTGTCAAACATACGGCGCTCTGTGGGAGCGTGCGGGCTGAGAAACGCATCACCCACTTTATCTCCACCTACAGCTGCCTTTCTCGGGATCAAACAGTCATAAAATACAAAAACAGACAATGTAAATCCCAGTGGTAACAGCAAAGTTATGTCTTTGTGAAACCTAATTATTTGAGGAAATTGTAACCTAACTGACTAGCGAGTGACAGCAGCGCCCAGTAAGGTCGGACCGACTTTACCCGCTGTCAGTAATGCCTGTATCATGAATGGTCGGGGCATCTGCAGGGTAGTCAGTATTTACCATGGTGTACGTTTGTTTTGGGTCTCACCAAACCTTCTAGTGGCTAAAAAGAAATTGGGTAGAGTAACTGTACAAGAGATTTGTTGTTAGGATTTTTTAGATAACTCGTGAAGTTTTTGTTTTTACATTCAATATGTGAGTTGAGCAAAATAACATGGTCTCACCTGTAGTGGATCTGGATCTGTAGAGGAGCTGCCCTTGTGCAGGAGTTTCAAGTGGACCAGCCGGTTACACATCCACACCATGTTGTAGGACATCTAGGGAAGGGGGCAAGTTAGCCCATGTTTGGACAATATGAGGAAGAGCTAATAAATATAAAGATAAATATGAGCTAATAAAACATGCGCGTGTGTGTAAATACATATACACACACACACAAATATGGCTTCAAGTCATTGGGCTATTCAACTGTGGAAGTGCTGTAGGACAGAAAGTATTCTTTAATCTAATCTGGGTTTTCATGGTTCTATAGCACCTCCCACAGGCAGGATGAGAACAGTTTTCTGTGAGTTAAGTGCCCTTTACCTACATCTGGTGTCGAGGTAACCACTTAGATAGAGAATATGTGGCCAGTCTATCTAGTCTAGATGCCAATTTAAAATTTTCCTGAGGTTTTCTGTGTTGTGAGCACAGGACATGAAGGATCACTCCACAGTGCAACAACCAGCCAGTAACAGACTGTATGAGCAGTTTATCAAACAGCTTTTGATCAAGCAGAACACAAACCTACAGAAATGTGACGTCTTCACCATTTTGCCCACGGTCCACTCACTGAAGTCCCCGTCATCCCTAAACCAAAGAGTGAATGTCTGCCAAGTCTACTGTTTTTGAGTGCTTGGTCAAAGGGGATTTGTTGGGTTTTTCCTATAATACTGTCAAGTCTAGGCTTTACTATGTAAAGTGCCCTGAGATGGTTGTTGTTGTGAATTGGCTCTACACAAATGTAACTGAATTGAATTGAACTGAAAAAGAATAGCAGCATCAGTCCAAACACCAGCAGCAGGTTAACACAGTCAAGCTCTCACGCACCTTGCTACGACCCACAAATACAGTTTAAAAAATGTTGGATCAGCATATATAACACTCACCTTCCATTTTCTTCGGGCGTTGAACTTCTTAAAGCTCTTCATATTGATTGAGGATCGATTCCTATTGGCCACCTGTTTGCGTGTAATGGGCTGAAACAGTCAATAGCATTTTGTCATTATAAGCAACATGCACGAACACTTGGCAGCACGACACATTAAATAAGCAGGTTTGTGAGCCTGCAAATAGTAGGCTTATATTAACCTTAATCCATGGGTGCAGCAGACACTCCTCAGCTGTCATTCTCTCACTGCAATGCACATCAGCACAGAAATAATGACAACACATCAGGAGAATAGTAACAGGCAATAATGAATACCAACATCTTTACTCATCTAAGTAAGCACACGTGCATTTTGTCACTTTTTGTTCTATAACACTATGAAACTTGAGCTTTATTTTTTAATTAAGCCCGTTGGTGGAACAAACTCCCAGCACAGTTCAGGACTGAATACTTCACCATGTACATGCACAGACTAAAGACAAAGTCTTTAAAATGTCTCTGGACTGAATTCTGCTAAACCCCGCTATCAGCTGATTCTGAATGAGCTAATGTTTGATTTAATGACGGTACCAATGACAAATACTGTACCTATAATACATACTTGGGATTTTTCACCAAGAGTTTCTGAATGAAATCTTTGGCCATTGAGCTGGTCGTGCTGAAATACTGTGCATGAAACTCATAGTTCATGGCAATGACATTCTTAAGAGTGTCTTCATTAGTGTCACCTTGGAATGGTGACAAACCACTCAATCTGAGGACAGAGTACACAGGAAGAGTGAGAATACAATATGTCCACATCTCAATGCATTCATACAAAAGAAGCTTTTACTGATTCCACCTCTGACAGAAGCTTCACAGTTTAAAGGTCCATATCTCTAAAGAGAAAGTAGAGGAGAAGTTCAATTTAAAGCTGAAGGTCTTGATACACATAACAGAATAGGAGCTACAAAGCAGCTGTGGTTGAATTTACACAGTATTAAACAGTGTGAGACAGCAGAGCTTTCCACATGAGCCTTATGATCCCTAAATGTTCACAGCAACATACTGTACATGCCTACAAGTACTCACATGCCATGCAGCAGACAAACCTTTACAACTTACAATATGTAGGTATTAACTCCAATGCTCCTAGAGGGGAAAGAAACAAGACGCAGGCAGTCAAGTGGTGTGGTTTAAACCTTTTCACTACTGCATGACAAACAAGAGACAAATACAGTATTTAACAGCATCAGTCATTCAGTACAACTGGTAGATTCCATTGCTCTGTTATTTGGTTGTTGGCTACAAACGCCAACAGTCCTGACAGATGGAGCGAACAGGGCCAAGAACCGGCCCCAACATGCCACTACACTAACTGAAGAATGTACTCTCTCCTGTGTAGGAAAGGAGCGGTGAAGGGATACCGACACTCGTCCACAAATTCTTAGACATACTGAGTGGATGTGTGTGTAATCATGTATTATAGCACGTTCGGTTGTAGATGCAAAAGCATGCAGTCTACTGCAAAATATATTCTGTGAATGAATGCTCACCACATATCTGCTGCTGTGCTCAGAGGTTCATTGTTGATCACCTCAGGGGCTGAAAGAGAGAGAAGACAGAGTTTAGGGTTGGTGGGGTAGGGCGGGCCAACTCCTGGTCCCCAGGAGCCAGGCAGCTCTGAAGCCATTATTCTAAGGAATATGGAGACACACCATGTCCAAGACATCAAAATACTGTTCCTCCTTCCTAACTGAAATGTATGTATGCAAACCCAGTATGTATAGTTTAAAAGGTTTTTAAGACTGTTTAGCCTAGCTTTCTTATTAGTTTGATGTATTACAACTTTACAAATCCTTGAAGAAATTAAGAATTTTTTTTGTATTTTGAAGAAAGTAATACACCAGTACAATACTATAAATTACATTTAACTACCAGAAATATCACTGCATCAGTTATTGTGTTGAGTAGCCTTAAATTCTCTACTCTAAACTGTTTCATGGCGCTAACATGACATATCGTAACCCATGTCTGTATTGAAGCATTAGCGATAAAAGCATCAGGGCCATGTAACGTGTGTCTAGGCTCCACAAAAGTATATAGAAAAGACAGACATGGACAGCAGCAGTGAGGAGACAGGACGCTGAGCCCAGAGACTCCTCAGCTGTCTGCAGCTGTCATGAGAAGACTGGGACAGAACTGGACAGACAGTGTGATCCCAGTAGCTTTTACAGTTCCAGACCATGTGTGCACAGTTAGTGCCACTGGCAAAGTCTTTCTATAAGCTATAAAGGCACCTCTGAGTCATTTCTTGATGAAGTTGCACACAACTGTAAAACTGGTTTATCAGAATATATAACTGTTAAAGTGCAACTCTGCACATTTGCAATACATACTGTGTGTAAATATAGCATGTAAATAAAGTGAAATGAGTAAAATACCAACATTTCATTAGAAGTGTAATTAAAAAAAGAATTGTGTAGTCTGTATTGAATCTTTTCACTTTCATGCTTTGTTGTAATTTTGTATTATGACAGCGATTTTATAACGCAGAGGGGAGACAGGATCATTACTTTTTAATAATTATGAAATGTACCTTGTATATTATATAAATATTTTGTTATAATCTGCAAAACATGAAGTGTTTTAATATGAAATCTGCAATTTTAATTTAACCAAACATCCTGTATCATAAATACATCTCTGGAGTTTGTAACAAACCAAACAGCTGGACAATCAGCTGTAAAGTCAGAGTTATGATGATTTTGGTGTCGATAGACCACCTGTCCTCATACACACAATATATTAGGAGGCACAGCCTTGCCCCTGACAACATGGTGGGTGTGGTGACATATTGCCGTAATAAACAAAAATGGTTCATTTGGCATCTAAGGTCACACTAAGAGGAAGAGATTAGTTTCAAATGTACAAATTACTAATTGGAAGCCGTGGTGGTGACACTGAACTCACTGGAATGCAGTATAGTTCATTTGTAGCCTAAGAATAGCCTTTTACTCCTGGCTTCAAACATCATAAAAGTGGTGTTAACCCATGAAGATGATCTTGCTGGAAAACATATGTCTTTAGATTTTGCTTATCACACAGCTTATTTTCCACAACAATCCAAAAGCCTATGAAAATATATCCCACTGGCTTGTTGTTAAGGGAACCAGGGTGATGCTAACTTCCAGGGTGGCCTACAAAAATACATCATCAGCACTCTATTAACCGATGACATAGGGACTAAAATGGCCACATACCTCAGATTCCTTTACTTTTTATGAATTAAACAAAAGCAAAGCACTTTTCTTCATACTTACAGGGATTAAATGCCTTCAATTCATTACAAAATGCAACTACATACCTAGAGGGACAAATACAGTATATCACAGGGTGGCTACACAAGATTGATGATGACAGCTTTTTCCTGCTCTTGCTGCAACTCAAAATCGTATTTGTGGCTCTTTGGTTCAGTTATTCCTGCATGTTTATGCAGAATTTAATAAGACATAAAGAAAAACGTGTCAAAAGAAGGACTCACCAATGTACTGAGGTGTGCCGCTTGTGCTCCTGTACTCCTCACCTTGATGGAAAAGGTGAGCCAGGCCAAAGTCGATCAGTTTGATGTTGGGGTGTGGTGACACGTTGTCTGACAGCATGACGTTCTCTGGCTGGACAAAGCGAATAATAACGTTGTGTGGAAGCATACACTCACTGGGCACTTTATAATGTCCACCTGTACAACTGTATGCACTTCAGTACAACACTGCTCTTTAACATCTGTGTTTATGAAGCTATACATTCAGTCATATTCTTATTATTGAGGTCATAGTTAAAGGTGGTGTACTGGACTATATTTTATTTAGAGGCCTTACTCTGACCCTCTCATGTATGTAGCTGGGAAGGACAGAAATATAGAAACACCTCTCAGTTTACTGTTACCTTGAGGTCAAAGTGGGCAATGTTCTTGCTGTGCATGAATGACAGTCCCTGCAGGATCTGCTTCATGAACTCAATGGCCTCACTCTCCAGCAGGTTATCCTTTTGAGCAATGAAGTCAAACAGCTCCCCTCCACTAACACTGAAATGTCAAACAGAAGTGTGTGTTATAATGATGTTTTTTTAGTTTGTCCACCCCGTACAGAACATGAACATACTGTAACGATTCTCCAGAGCTGTCACGTAGTGAGCACGTGTCAAAAGGAGGGCAGAGGGAATTTCTGCAGACCCCTCACACCCTGGACACAAACTGTTTGGACTCCTCCCCTCTGGACGGCGCTACAGGTCACTGTACGCCTAGACAACCAGACACAAGGACAGTTTTTCACCCCGGGGCGTCGCTCTGATGGACACAACCCATGACTGGACACAACCCATTACTGGACACAGCAATCACTCCAGTACAATAAACTGTAACTATGACTATTGTATCAGTCTGAATGCTCCTCTGCCATAATGTATATACACTATATTTTATAGATGCTCTTATTTGAATGTACACATTGTTTATTATTTTGCGTAGTTTTTATTTTTTGTTTTGTTTTCATTGTTATTTTCCATTTCCTGTTGCCTACAAACTCATTGAGAGCCTCTGTACCAGAGTGAATTTCAAACATACTCGGCCACTGAAGATGATTGGAACGTTTTGACGGACTGCTGTTTCCTGCGGTAAACCGTACTCATTTTACTTACTACTTGCTACTTTAGGTCGGCTAGTTTTGATTTGATTTATTTGATTTGATTTATTATTTCAAGCATGTAAAAACAGTTGATATGACAACACACAATTTTACACATAATCCAATATCAATTTGCATATATCTAGTACATGCTTGAATGGAGTAGGAAGAAGTCAGACTTATCCAGTCCTACCCCATAACATCATCTTACCATCATTGGTTTGCAAGCAGTAAATAATTCACTTCTACCCACACACATATTATACTAAAAAAAAAGATTTTAACAGTGTTAACATTCTTACATCACACAAGTAGTATACTAAAGAATTATTACAAAATGTACACCACACCCACAATTGTCCATGTAATTAATCATTGAACCTGTTCTTGCATATATCTTGATTGACACATACCTTTATATTTAAGTTTAAACTCATCAATTCTATTACTATTTTTTATGTCTACACTTAAATTATTCCATAGTTTTACCCCACTTATGGAAATACAAAATCTTTTTTTGGTTGTACGTGTAGCATGAATTTTTAAATTTAACTGACCCCTTAAATTGTATCCCCCTTCCCTTTCATTAAATAGTTTTTGAATTCCACCAGGTAATAAATTGCTCCTGGCTTTATACATAAACACTGCAGTCTTA